ATCTTTTCTTTACTCTCAGCTAAACTTTGATAAACACAAAAGTAAAGCAAAAAATTAAAGAAAAAAAGGGTTTTTTTATCGATAACTCATTTCTTATCACGATTCAAAAGGAAATCCATGTCTATGAATGGGGATGAAAATACTCTTGTATGTAGGATCTCACAGATAAAGAACATTGTTCAAAGAAAAATAAATGATTTTTGTTAAAGCGATTTAATAAATAATTTGTTTAAAATGTGATATAAAAACGTGCATTGCAAGTTTTTTAGTGTTACATAATTGATAAAAAATTATATTCTTTCATTTTTTTTTATGAAGTTGTAAGTAGAAAAAGCTTTTTATCATCTACGTCCTTCAAAAAAGTTGCCAAAGTTTTCGCCATGGATGTTTTCAGATTTGGGATAGAACCCCGCTTACCTTATATTGTATTTATGAAAATTCATCAACTTCAAATGAGTTTTTGACAGCTGGTGTAGTGTTTCGTGAGAAGGTATCCTTACATAAATAGATACGTTCCTGCACTCTCAAATTTTTATAATATAGATATAGATATAGATTCTAAGCTATGGATTGCCACGTCCCCCCCCCCAGATTTTGTACACCCTTCCCCGACTTAAGGTATCCGACTACTTGCGACAACTTTTTTTTTTGAAGAAATGGAGATATGGGGATTTTTTTGTGATTTTTAGATTTATTTAGTATGTTTTAAGGAAAAATCCTGAACTTGAAAACAGAAAAAAAATTTATTGTTATTAAAATGGGAAAAAACTGGTGAAAATGTACAAAAAATTACATAAACGGGGCCCGTTCTGTACAAAATTTTATGAACAAATTCTCAATTTTTTAATTTTGATGCGTTACTTTGTTATTTATGTTTGAAATGAACTACAGGATAAGAGATATTTTAATTTTTACAAAAAACTAGAGCAAATTATCTTAGTGAATATATGAAATTGCTTAAAAAAACAGTGATTATATTCACATAAAGGACTGTAAATTTTGAAATAACACAGTAATTGATAATTCTGAAGGTCAAAACACTTCTACTGTTACACAGAACATACACAAAAAATTTTAGCATATTATTTTCAAAACTATTTGAGCAATCGCTGTCCCCGTTTGAACTTTTCGAAGAAAAAAACACATTTCGAGTAAAACGCATTTTAAAGATTGACATCTTGTGTTAAGTTATGGCATTTGCTTTTACTAAAACACTTGTAGTTTTTGTTCTAGTGAATGGAAATTAAAAAAATATTGGTATTTTTACTAAGCGAATAAGATGACCTACAAAATAAAATCATAAACAAGATTTGTCAATTTTTAAAAAAATCATGATTTTAGGATAGTCGGATACTTTAATATTCTTGATCGAAATACATGTTTTAGAAGAGTTTTTTCATTGTGAGGCAATTAAGTGATGTAGTCTAGAATGCACATCTTTCAATTTTTCCTCGAGGCCTTTCAGAGTCTTTAAAAGAAGGAAATCTTAACGTTACACAAGAAACTTCGCCGACATCCAGGGGTCCGTGGATCACAGTTTAAGAACCACTATTCTCTATGTGGATTATTCCATTCACTAAAAACCAAAATTAAAGCCATAATCGTAAGCTCAAATTTCCACCTCATGCACACTCAATTTTTTTTCTAGCAGACACGGACCCCTTGCAGGTCGTCGTCGACCCTTGAGAGGGTCGATATAGACTACTTTGGGAATCAAAGATCTAGAAAGTTCGCACTTTTGTGAATGCTTTTGAACATTATTCAATTTATGACTTCTGATAAATTATTTTTTCCTTTTTTTACGGTGAATATATTTTTTATAGATTGGATTAACAGCTCAAAATATCGTACACAAATCGTTACTCTGATCTATTATTATACAGGGGACAGACCCGTTACACATTGATGTCAAAATTTTTGAAAAATGTGTCGCAAAATCTCGCCCGTGAAAGTGCATTAAAGGAAGAGATATGATAACAATACAAACACTTTTATTATAACTATCAAATCACTTTCTAAATTCGACCTAAGCTAGGGGAGGTGTCAGATTAATTCCTAACTTAAACATCTACTCTAATCAATTTAATACTTAGATTGACGATTAAATCCGAAGCAATGCTATTCTCGTCCTAAGTTAGTAGTCCTCAAATTCCTGGCCGCGGACCGGTACCGGGTCGCTCAAGGAACATTAAAATATTTCTATTTTATTTACCGTGGTGTATTTATCTCAGGTTTGTGCGATTTTCCATGGAAATCACTTTATACTACCTTTTAAACTCCTTTTTCAAGTCCTACTATTAGTTCACTCTCTCCCTATCCAGGAATTTGCTAATGTACTACTGTGGCTAATATTTCCTACTATCGTGACTAGTAATACATAAGTGATCTCTTGGAGGCTCGGATAACGGCGATAGCAGTTACACATTTAGCATCACCCAAGAAGCACGTGTAGCATGAGAAATGCCACGGACGCGTGTAACTTTGCTCAACCTAACTAACATGACATCAAATAAGGCTGATGTCATTCCTGAAGAATTAAAATCCTGCGCTTGGAAACGATCGAAGAAAGATATCCAGCAAATGAGTGGCTCCGTATCTACACTGACGACTCATACCTGCCAGAAACAAACGGAGCCGGCGCGGGATGGTTCTGTATGCTGTTTGAAGGCTCATTGGTCGTGGAAAAGAACGTCGCAAACAACGATGGTGAGGTCTTGGCTGTCTGTGAAGCTGCAACGCATTTACTATATGCTGGCCTAGCTCCTGCAAAATCTGTCTTCTTCATAGACTCCCAAACTGCAATTTTAGCTTTAAGCAGTAATACACCGACTGCCTTAACACAATTAAGTGCCGAACTAAAATTGCAGAGCTCATCTCATATGGTTGGACTGCGGCCTTACAGTGGGTCCCAAGTCATGCTGGGATCCTCAGCAATGAAAGAACCGACCGAAGCCAAGCAGGGAGCGGAATCGACTCAACCGGAAGTCCCCTTGGCCCTCGGAAGAGCAAAGAGCATAATCTCCACACACATTGACAAATATACTGCCATGATCCAAAAAACAAAGAGTTTTGAAAAGCCATGGGAAACTCTGGCCACTGTGAGCCCAATCCTGAGGCACCTGAAGAGAGCCGAGGCTGTTGCCCGCTTTCATCCAACTACCGGACATGACCTTTTGGGAGTATACCTCCACTGGCTTGGCGTGGCTGCTAACGAGGCCTGCCCACTCTGCGGCTTTGCCAGAATGGATGGCGACCACCTGCTCCAATGCACTGGACTCGTTGAATACCCGGCTGATGACATTGTGAGTCGGTACTGGGAGGCTCGGTGTCAAATGGTCAAGACGCCAAGCACGGGCGTTGGATAAGTAAATAAAATAAATAATACAATAAGTTTTATAGCTGTTTGTATATATTTATGGATTATATATGTGGGAGTCCGAATAAAATCTTCGAATAAAAACCAAGCCGCGGTAGCCGAGTGGTATAGGTATCGGACCGTGGCTTGCTTTGTCAAGGGTTCGAACCCTGTACCACTAAAGACCCGCCGTGTAGGGCAGCGATGCACGTTAAATCTGTCGAGAGCTGAAACGTCCTCCCGTTGGTGTGGTGTGGTAGTTAGGAGAGGGAGGTGCCAGCTCAGGTGTCGTCCACGTCACTTGACCATGGTTCAAAATTACGTGGTCCGTCTCCAAAAGCCCTCGTGTAGCTGAACAGTGCGACGTTAATACTCAATCAATCAATCAATCAATCGAATAAAAACCAGAGTCTTCAAAAGTCGGGATTTTATACTGGCGAGGTGGTTGTCTAGGGGTAAGTATTAAAGGGTTAGTGATGAATTAATGGAATCAAAGGCATTTAAACGCAGATACTTCATTTAAGTAAAAAAGAATTTATTTCAAGTTTTAAAGGGGAATATTTACAAAGGGAAAGAGACATGCAGAAATTAGATTAATTGAAAGTTGAGTTATACCTTTAGAAGACGGGGAAATTAATTATCTTTCTCATGCTTGGACTGAAATCGTGCTGGGCGCGAAAAACGTGACCTGTTGAACCGGCGGTGGTTAGTAGGCCTCTGCCGAAAATTATTCAAGCTGGTGCTCCGAAAGCTCACCAGACGGCGCTGCTTCGGAATGCGGTAATAAACAAATTTGACATTAATAGTCCTCTGAAAAGGATATGACTCAACCTTTTACAAAATATTTCAAACGGAAAATCCTACATATATACTTTTATATATGTTCGGCTGCATTGCCCCTAAACATAGAGGAACTTATGAATCACTTTTGTTTTTTCATTTTAATCAGCAATTTAGCTTATAGCCTAATTCTGAATTTTTAAAAGATTCTAATTTTGGCTATTGTAAATAATCTTACTTTTTACTATTTTATTATCTATCATAAGTTAAAAATTAATACTTTGCTTTTTATTATTCAAGACATGATTTACTTATTTTTATTCCTTTTTTAGTATAATCAATTTTGTTTGCATTGTGGCTTTTTATTTTTTATATTATTAGTAGGCTATAATTTTATCGTTATATTTTAATAGTATAGTGTAATTTAGTTGTAATATTTAAATTTCTTCAAATATTATTCCTTCCTTTCCCTATGGCTCAGAGTATAGGCAACTTACAGGTGAACGTTGGCTAGCCTCAAAGCTTTGTTTAAACCTGCAATCTTGGTTCCTAAGACCAGGAGTTTGCTATTGTACTACTGTGACTAATATTTTCTACTGTCTTGACTAGTTATACTTAGGTTTTATAGCTATTTGTATACATATATATATAGTTAAATATCTTGTTCAAATTTTCAACCATTAATAAAATACTTTCTATTCATCCATTCAAGCTCAAATACATATTTTTATTGTATAGGATGACTCTTGATGTTAATGCAGTTTTTTCACATATTAATTCATTAATTACATTAAAAAATGAATAAATAGTAGCAAACAAAAATAGTAGTCCAACAACATATATAGAAAGGAAAATCGTTCGTTGTGTCCCTGTAGCGCAATACATAGCGCTTTGGACTTCTCATCCAAATGTCATGGGTTCGAATCCCATCTGGGATGGACTTACTTCAGAGAATATGATTTCTTTTTTATTAGAATAACTAAATTTGATTAATGAATAAATAGTAACAAACAAACAAAAATAGTCCAACACCCTATATTGAAAAGAAAATGAAAAATTGCAAAGAAAATCGCTTTCTATTTTGTCACTTAATATTATGATTCCGTCATATGTCGCAACATATTTAAATTAAGTGTAACTATTTAATAAAAAGTAACTAAAATAAAAAAAAAATTCTTTGTTGACCTAAGTAGGAATTGACTTAATTTTTTTTTTCATATTACTTGTTTGGTGTAACTGTATTTTGTTCTGAAGGCAATAAATTAAAATTAAAAGCAATTAAATTAAAATTATTAAATCTAAACAATTCAAGTTCCCTTCCCCCCTCCCTCAGTGGGTTGCGATAAAATAATCAAAAGTTGACCGTTCTGCAGCGATAAAAAGGTTGGGAAACACTATCCTATCTGACTCAAATGAATGAACTCAAAATATGAAATGCGACAGCAAATAATTTCAATAACATAAACTTCGACAGTTTGCGTAAAAAATGCAAGCCCAGCTACTAAATATAAGGCATGGTTCGGTGACACCTGAAGAACAAATCAATATTATTAATGAGTAAATTGTATATTAAAGTCATACTAATTTTTTTAATAAGAAATACAATACTTTTTACAATACATAAAGTACTTATAACACGTTGATTTACACTAAATCCTAAAAATATCTTAGAATTCTTATGATTCCGTGAATCCTAAAAAAGTTTTAAGACCACTGCTCTAAAAGAAGACTTTGTCAAAGATTAAATATTCTTCTAGTAAGTCCATTAGAAAATTGAATAAAAATCAATTTACGTAAACTAGTTTCATCCTTATTTTATGTTAAAAAAATAATACTTCAATTAAACTAGGGGGAGGAGGTGCTTTTATCAAAAACAGGCGATACATTAATTCCATTTACGTTAAAACATCTTACATTTGATCTCTCTTATGCCATGCTTTTAATCAGATAATTTGTTTTTAAAAATTCTTCAAGGTTCTTATGCTAAAAGCCACGAAAATATTTCTTAAAATGTTCTTCGAGAGGATCATTTTACTTTTTTTATGTGTTACTTATCAGCTTTCACGAACCTTCATTTTAATTTCCGTCCATTAACTAATGGGAAAACGGGGCTAATTTGTTCCTTTTATATATATTTCGAACAATTTTATCAGAGCGTAACACAATTCCTGCTTGTAATTTTCAGTCGGTCCCCTTTAGTATGTTATTACAAGTCCCGTCACCTATCCAGTGCGATATTTATAGCCAAGTTTATCGTGCAGACAGCGCCCTGTCGTAAAAATGGGCTCAATAAAACTCGGACATCATTCCTGCTGGGAAGAAATTCAATTAGGAGATTCTACAAAATCTTGCAAAAAGTTTTAAAAAAATACCCGAGGTAATCTTTTTTAGAATGAAACATTGATACAATGCTTTTCTCCGTATTTTTGTCAGATGTGAGTGCTCTATATTTATCGCTACAGAATAATCATTGGTAAAACATGAAGGCTGCGAGAGTTGGTTCAAAAAGCGTGTTTTTTTTTCTTTTTTTAAAAAAGTATGTTTGGAAGAACGAGTAATTTTTTTGTGCTTTATCTTGAAACTAAAAAATTTTAGAAATGGATTTATTGTAAAATCCGGCGTATAACGTGCACCTGTACTTTCAAGCTACATTTTTCAATTTTTAGGGATATTCGCAGTATAATGCGCACCTTCACCCCTTCTATTACGAAGGAACCTGAAATGTATGTATCCAATGCTCTTATGTCTTAAAGTGATTATTCGAAGCATTATCCCAAAAAATTTTGGAAAAATAGTATACTTCTAGAGCTGCAACCCCTTAAGTTCATTAGGTATGTCAATTTTCTTTGAAATAAACAGTATTCCGATATATGTAGAAGCTTAATTGTTTTTTATGGTCATCTTTTTTTTTTTTGAAGTTATCATTTTTATACCCGGCGTATAACGCGCATCCGTAAATTTCTATCTTTACACACTCATGGACAAAAAATTAGCGCACCAAGAAATAATTGCGGGATCGTAACGAAACTTGGCATGATGGTACATGTTGGGGAGATATGCAAATGATTAGAAATGCAGAGTGATTGCGCATTACGTATGGCCGGTAGAGGACGTTTAACGTCGTTCTCGATGGAGTATAAAACAGGTAACCAAAGCTTGTCTGAGTTACAATGGAAGAGCTGAGGTAGACATGCCATTACGCCGTTTGCCATTAGGGTTTTGTGTGAAATGTTGCAATGTCCTAATCAAGAAATAATAAAAAGTAACAAGTCAAAAGTCTCCTTCAGTACGCCACGACTACAACATAAACATATTAATTTAATAAGCAAGACAAATTTTACGCAGCCCAGAGCATTACATATATATATATACACAATCATGGACAAAAAATTTAGCGCACCAAGAAATAATTACGGGATCGTGACGAGACTTGGCATGGGAGATATGCAAATGATTAGAAATGCAGCATGTAGAAAGCGTTTAACGTCGTTCTCCTTGGAGTATAAAACAGGTAACCAAAGCTTGTTTGAGTGTGCTGAATCGTTTACAAAGGAAAATAGACATGCCATTATGCCGTTTTCAAAGACAATATGAGCAGCTGTTACAGTTTGAGAGGGGAGAATCATCGGCATGATGAAAGCTGGGTCGTCAGCTTAGCGAGTAACTCGTCAATTAGGCCGCTCTGATTGTGTTGTGAGGAGGTGTTGGGACCAGTGGATCCGAGAGATGTTACATAAACGAAGACCAGACTCAGGACGCTCTCGACAAACCAGTCATCTAGAATACCACCACATCGTAAGAAATGCACGCGTACAGCCAACTGTTTCATCGTTCGCCATCCAGGTTCAGATAGTACCTACATTAGGGGGCCCTGTGTCTTCTCGAACCATACGAAGGCGCCTGGCTGAAGGACATTTGGAATCGTGGCACCCATTACGTGTGCTGCCCTTGACGCCCGACCATCGACGCCTCCGTATGGAGTGGTGCCACGCACAAGGAAACTGGACTAGAGAGGAATGGAACCAGGTCGTCTTTAGCCACGAATTTAGATGCAATCTCAGCAGTGATGACAATCGTGTTCGTGTGTGGAGACCCCATAAAGAACGCCTTAATCCTGCCTTTTCTTTACAGCGACACGCAGCTAGTGTGATATTGCCTGCAATACATGGTTAACCCTAGTATTGATCCGTAATCCCATGACAGCCCAGCGGTATGTCCATGACATCCTGCAATCACATGTGTTGTTACTCCTGCAACGGCTCCCAGGAGTCATTTTTCAACAAGACAATGCTCTGCATCACACGGCAAAGGTGTCACGATACTGTCTCTGCGCAGTTACAGCCTTCCTTCGCCTACCCGATCCCCAAATTTGTCTCCAATCGAGTATATCTGGGATGATTTGGGATGGCTAGTTGGGCATCCCACGAGTTCTAATGAACTAGAGGCAAAGTTACAGCAAGTATGGAACGAAATGTCTCAAGACATCATACAGAACTTGTATGCCTCAATGCTCGATCGTATCGCATCGTGCATTCGCGTTAGAGGGGGTTCAACAGGGTATTAAATCCTCTGTTCTTTTGCCTTTTTCTCTGAAATAAAGGATCCTTTTTCTTTGATTTTCTAATGATTTACTTTCTATCAAAGTAGTCATTACATATGTCAAATTTCGTTTCATTTTGACGACTTCTTCTTGGTGCGCTAATTTTTTTGTCCGTGAGTGTATTTGTGTTAAAAGAGTGCGCGTTATTTGCTGGATTATATGGTATATGAATGTTCACTAAAATCTTCCACAAAAAGTGTTTCACTCATTGTTGCTTTCTTTTTATTTTTTATTACTAGGGATTGTAATATCGGACCAAAAGTTCAATACCGGTATTCGGTATTTCTTAGACCTCAACACTGGGAAACCGGTTTTAATACCGGTAACGGAAATTTTAGAAAGAGAAAGAAAACACATGTGTGTTACTTTGCTTCATTTGCCATTTGTTTTAATGAGAGTAAATATAACCAAAAATAACTTGTAACTTATAAATTATAACTATATATAAGGAATCACAAAAAAGTAAAAGAACATCTTATTTATTTAAATTATTAAAAAGTATAAGTATCACTATTCAGTCTGTGATACTATTACAAATTTTACAAACCGAAGTATTATCAATTGATTTTAATGTTTTTTAAAGTTATACTTATTCATTATTATGGATTATTATTTATGAGTATATGTGTATGACTAATATGACTGCCAGTCTGGGTGTCGGCGCTTCCCCGAGGTCAAACAATAAACAATGACCACACGACCACGTGCACTGGTCACTTAAACATCTGGTCTAAGTCATAAGACTTGGCATGAATAGAAGGGTGGGGTTTGCACCAAGTGAAGTCGTTACAGTATATATATATATATATATATATATATATATATATATATATATATTTAATGAAACTTAAAAAAAATATTTTGAACCCTAAAGTATGACATGAAAATGCAATCTTAATTACAAACTCACCAATTTAAGAAATATCGAAATATTATGCACTTTATTCACAACTATAACCTTGTTTTCACAAATACGAGTATCAGACTACGAATCCAGCGTGTGTCCAGTATCACTCTCAGCTGTAATATGATAGTTTTGGCCAACTCCTTGGATGATTCACATATTTTATCACTTCTCTTGATTGTACGATGCAACTTTGAATTCACAGTCTAAATCATTTCGCCCGTTAGGGAGACAGATAAACAAAAATGTATACCATTTTGTTATGTTGGCAATCCCTGAACATATAAAAAAATTGAAAAATTTCTAGTAAATACCGAGAAAACGGTATTTAAACTTGTGAATACCGGTATTACAAAATTGTGTAAATGGCTCAAAATACCGGTATTTGGTATCCCGGTATTGCAATCTCTATTTATTGCAAAGATCTTCAACCA